AATTGTGTGTGTGTGTGTGTGTGTGTGTGTGTGTGTGTTGGTGTACTAGAGCTTGAAACTCAGAACCTAGGTACTGTCCCTCAGCTTTTTTACTCAAGACTGAAGTTCTACCACTTGTACCACTTCTGGATTTTTGGCAGCTAACTGCAGATGAGTTTCACGGACTTTCCTGCTTGGGCTGGCTTCGAACATGGATCCTTAGATTTCAGCCTCCTGAGTAGCTAGGATTACAGGTGTGAGCCACTGGTGCCTGGCCATTCAATGTTTTAAAAGCACTCTAGGTAGGGGGTATGGCATGAAGAAAGGCACAGAGGGTGGGCTGAATTAGACATGGCAGGAGGACAAGGTAGAGACTGGGTTGAGGAGACAGGTCCTCTTCTTGAGCTGTGAGTCCAGATGATCTAAGGTGGAAATTCATTATGATTCTGTTCCAGAGGGATCCACTCTATTCCCAAGGGATCTTCTCTCGATTTCATTCCTCCCTGGGTATCCTGGACTACTCTGGCCCTCAGGAGTACTCAAGGTGGTTCCCTGGTTGGCTGGGAGGTTTCTGCTTTGTGTGGAAGTCTGTGAGCTATCCTTGGGACTTACAAGAGGACAAGTAGCTTCTGTGGTCCAAGACTTCTTTTCCCAGAGCCTGTCAACTCTGGGATGGTTTGTATCCCTGAGTGAGTGTGCAGAGGGTAAGGGTTGGCTCCTCCCAGGGGAAAGGGGGCCAGAGCCCAGGAGCACTTAGAGTCTGCTAAGCTAATGAGCTGGTAAACTTGCCATGGTTAAGTGACTTGGCTATAGTCACCAGACCAGGAGCTAGGACCCCATGGTTGGGGCAGAGCCAAGTGTGTGTGTGTGTGTGTGTGTGTGTGTGTGTGTGTGTTGAGAGGGGGGGAACGTATTCCTCATTGGGAGATATAGCCCTTTCTCTACAATGCCCTCCCGTGTCCCTGAAGCTGCCTTTCTCCTGACTCAGGGCTAGGTCTGTGAACCCAAGAAGCTGGGAAGGCTTTTCTTAAGGGAGTCTAGCCCCTGCCTTTTCTCTGATGCTCACTACAGTGAGTCCTTTTCTGGTCCCCCTCTTCCTGATCCACCCCTTTGGCCTTCCCTCTGTCCTGCAGAGTAGGTTCTCAGGCACTGGTATTGTGTTAGACTCTCACACATTTATATGGATAGACAGGCCACTTCTGTAAACTGCATTTGTGACTTTTGGCAGAAAGGAGATTGAGTCCAACTAGGAGGAAAGTAACCTTTAAAACAGAGGCTCTTCCTCTTCCTCCTCGGGGTCTCACCTCCAGGACTGTGCAGAGAGCTCCTAGGAATTCCAACCAGTTTCCTTCTCTTCAACTCCACCTGTCCTGGATTCCCACCACCCACCACCTGAGACATTTGTCATGGCAGTCGCTGATTTTGCGTTCCTGCTGTATTATGTTGAGATGTGAAAGTGGAGACTGCCAGGCTAGGTAGAACGAGGAAAACCAGGGCACATCCCAGCCCTGCTACTATCACATTGGACAAAAGGTCTTCCATGAACTCTCTGGGCACCAGGGACCTATCCATTTGGCAAACTATTTGTCTTCCTGCCCTCTCCACAGCACAACAGCTTTTACATGTAGGCCAGGCGTTCCTGCAGGGAAGGGCTCTGTATAATGACCCTAGGGTTGTCCATTTGCACCCAGCCAAGGACCTGGGAAAAGCTCATAAGCCAGACTTACAAAGGCAAGGAATCTTTCTGCTCTGGACAAACTGACATTGGGGACCTTCTGTGGCCACTGTACCGGCTGAGCCATACATGCCAGGGACAGAAGGCTTCCTCTCCAAGCTTTAGCCTGAGCCTGAGCAGAGGCAGAGAGGCAGAAGGAAAGGAGGGAGGGGAAGTGTTTCCTGCACAGATGCTGAAATCCTGAGATTGTTGAGATGCAGAGCATGCTGGCTGTGTGGCTGGCTGCCCACTCAGCTCAAGCAACTTCTCCCTAATGCCATCCTCAGTGGGCAGCCTGGGCAAGACAGGAAGTGGAGACAAAGCCCACAGCTGGGCCAGACTCTTTTCTTCAGAGCTAGATGGGATAGGGGATGGCATCTGGGTGGATGCCAGAGGAGGGGATGGGCAGATTCCATCTCTAGGGTGGAGTCCTGGAGGTCGGGAGCTGAAAGGAGGGAGTTTAGGGAACAGGCAGGTAGGAAGTAGTGAGAGATCTCATGGCTGTGGGTGGACCAGTCTGGAGGCTGATAGTGAATAAAGAAATGAATGGGCGAGGGAGAGGGTGGGAGGAGGGGAATGGAGAAGTTGGCAGAAAGGTAGGAAACAGCAACTGCCAACTTGGCCAGGCTGTGCCCTGAGTATGTCTTCTTGGAGCAGGCCTGAGGTGACACTGAATCTCTCAGAGGAGAATGGGATAGAAAGATGGGGTAAGCCTGGCACCCCTCAGTGTAATAAGGGGAGGGGAGAGACATCTGGATGGGGAGACTGGCCAGTGGCTGGGAACTTTCCCTGGAACTGCCCCCTGCTGGGGAGAGGTGGGAGTGGAGCATGGAAGGCACAGGTTGGGGTGGGGGTGTGAGGGGATGTAAGGTATAGGGGCTCAGTGAGGGCCAGGGAGGTGGGCTGAGATGCTTGAGAGGAAAGCACAAAGGGAGCATTGACCATGCAAATGGCCCTGCAGCGGAAGCCAGTTATCATGAGCATCTAATGGGGTTTCGCAGGGCTGAGGCCAAGGCCCCAGGCAGCTCAGGCTTTCCTGGTTCTCAGGCAGCTGCCTTCCGTTGGCATGAGCTCGGGTGCCAGTCCTAGCTCCTGACCCACTGGTCATAAGTCCAGACACACTAGCATTATTGGGTGCCCCAGTTACTACCCACCTTGTCGAATGCTACCTGCCCATCCACATCCTGGCACAGCCTCTACTGAGACTGTCAGGCCTCTGGAGCAGAAACAAAGGCTGGGGCAGGGTTGGAAGAACAGCCTGGAGGAAGGTGGTGGAGGGATTCCATGGTAATGAGAAAGCTCTACACCTGCGACTCTTCCCCCAGAGAGCCTGGAGCATGCCTATGTCAGAGCTGAACACTTATTCCTGCTCCAGGCCTCTGACACAGGTAGGACAGAATTGGCAGGGGCCAGCTTGTCACCGAGAAGGTGCTGGGAGCTCAACTACTAGTTTTTCTTCAGGAAGGCAGGCCCTTCGCAGCTTTTCTCTTTCCCCTACTCCTAAAAGAGCTTGGAGGGATCCTGAGTCCAACCAAGTTCCCTCCAGACTGTCAACGTCCAGAGGCAGGACCATGTCCTTGAATCCAGCACAGGCCATCAACCTGACTTAAGTTAGATCTGTGGATGAGGACAGTATGGGAGGGGGAGGGGGAAGGAAGAGCCGGCAGTAGACAGAAGGGATCTGGGGGTGAGGGTCTTGGAGAAGCCTCATCTGCTCTATTTAGTTCCTGGTCACTAGTAAAGCTGGCTGCAGTGTGGCTGGGAGTGTCTGACCACAGGGCAGTGTCTTCCTAAGAGCCCCATTCTGTGTGGATTCCTGAGATTAACAGAACCCACTTGAACTTCTCCAGTTGTCTGTCTTACCTCTCTAACCCCCTGGGGCTCAGCTGACATGTAGGTGATCAGGATTTTGATAAGGTTAGGGTTCTTAGGCCTGGCATATAATAGCCTGAGTTTTCTTCCATGGGAGGGGACTCCGCACAATAGCCAATGAGTGAGCTGGAACCTGAAATGCCCAGAATTCTTCTGGGATCCAAGACCCTTCTCTGGTAGATGAGAAAGGTGTGTGGAAGAGAATTCTTTAGCACCATTTAAGGAAATGGATTGAGTAATTTTCTTTTCAATTCACTGTCATGGTACTATTTCTACAAAGGGGATATGATCTAAAACTGCAACATAGAGAAAACATATAAAAGACATACTGGGTCCTGGAAGTCCTCTCAGGCTCTTTCCAGGCTCTGTGGGGACCCCCTCCCCCAAGACAGTGCCAGGAAACCTTCTTTGAGAGCAGCTCTGTACAGATCAGGGCCCAGTGCGGCCTGAGGCTTCTGTGCGGTTGGCTGCCTTTTCTGACCATTAATCACGACTAAGTGTCATTACCACTAATAAAATTAACTGACTTTATATTAGACTCCTGAAGCCATCAATCTTAAGGTCTATTACATTAAATTAAAAAGAAAAACAAGTGCCGTTGATGAGTGGAAGGGTGTTTACAAAGCCTGCCTCACAAGCGCAGCTTAGGGAATTCTGGTACTCAATTCTTTCTCCCATTCAATTTCTCTTGATGCTTTTGGTTAATTAAAAAAAATTTGTTTTGAAGAAAGGGTCTCACCATGTAGCCCAGGCAGGCCTGGAGCTTGTGGTACTCCTGCCTTAGCCTTGAGTGCTAAGATCACAGGCGCACACTACCTAGCTCTGACTAATTCTTTTTCTCAGCTTCCTCTATTTGCTTTCTGTGTGTTACAGGCCCACTTCCTCAAAGCAAAGAAGGGAGAGCATGAAACTGCAAGGTCTCTTCATTCAAATTCCAAAAATCCCAGAGAGAAAGGACTAATTGGCCTTGGTTGGGTCATATGATTATCATTGATCCAATCAGCAGACTGATATATAATGGTCAACAGAGACCATATAAAACCATGTAGGTAGAAGGAATGGTTGAGCTTAGGTGCCCACAATAGTAATTCAAAAGGCTCAGTAGTAGATATCCAAAAAATGGTAGGTATACTAGTATATATCACATAACACATAATATGTATAACATAATACATAATAAATATAATAATGCATTATGTTATATTATATGATATATAATATGGCTATAATTATAGTATTATGATTGGACTTTGAGGAAGGCCTTGAAGGATTTTTAGTCCATTAGCCAAAATTCTCATCACTCTTTGCTCTTCTCTGCTAATCAGTTTTTGCAATGGAGGCCCTACTTTCTAAGACACAGGAATCATTTGAACCACAGTTGTCCCTCACACCAGGGCTTCTGGGCTGCTGCCCCTTTTCTCCCTGTTGCCCCCAGACCACCCTCCATGCTGAAAGCCAGTGGAAGTGAGGTCTCCTGAGCTGTTGGCTGACCTCAGGTTCTGTTCTGGACCTGCCAAGGGTCAAGCTCTGAGGGTTTCCTGCCAGGCTGCAGGGAGGGGTTTGGGTGTAGGCCTGGTGGACTGGAAATTTACCCATTTGCCCCCAGATTAATGATTAACGGGCCCCTGCCCTCACCCTGTCTGGGAGGGGAGCCCAGGGCCAGGCTGGGCCAGGGGGAGCCGATAGCATCTGTCTCTGCTCTGAGGTTTCAGAGATATGCTCCACGCTGGGTTGGCCGCACCTGATGGATTTGGAATCTATGGGGCCCCTGAGGCCTGGCCAGGGCCTACACCCTCCAGTGAGGCTTCCTACTCCCCAGACAGACGGTGAGTGTGGCGTCCAGCCAAATGTCTGGCTGAGGCAGGTGATTCCTAACAGCAGAACAGTGCCCTTAGCTCAGTGGGATGAGGGCCTCTCTGACCACTCAGGGTGGTAGAGTGCTAGCCTTGAGCAAAAAAAGCTCAGGGACCAGGGCCAAAGCCCTGAGTTCAAGCCCCAGGGCTAGCACAGAAAAACAAATAACAATAACAAAAACCCTCCAGTTCCCCATCACGACACTCCGGTAAAAGGGTAAGGCATCTTACAGAGCGGGAAACACTTGGAAAACTCTAGCCAGTGGAATACAAGCCTGCCTAGCCAGTTACTATGGTTTCTACCTTATTTTTTTCTTTCAATGATCCCTTTTCATTTTAGCTTATTTTCCAACCCATGTCTCACTTTTTTTCCAGGTAGGTAAGGACCCATAATCCTACCAATGCCTACAATATAGCTGGGATCATAGGCACATATCAACCAAGCCCAGCCATTAGTTGAGATGAGGTCTTTCTAACTTTTGGCCTAGGCTAGCCTTGAGCCATGATCCTCTAAGTCTCCACCTCCCCAGTAACCAGGATTACAGGAATAAACCATAGTGCCCAGATGTGGCTTGTACTATTCATGTAACCCTTACAGCAACCCTGGGAGGAAGGGGTGGGGGCAGGATCTATATGTATTTCTATTGTTTCATAGAGGAGAAAAACAAACCTTCATAGATTACCCAGCTAGGAAGTGGCAGCATCAGGTTTACAATATGGCAGGCTGACTCCAGGATCTATATCTATGACTATGGATACAGAATAAAAGTCTAGGATTCACCTTTATCTTCATCCCACCATCTGTCAGCCTGCCTGCCTGCTTTCTTTCCTTTCTTTCTTTCCTTCCTTTCTTTCTTCCTTTCTTTCCTTTCTTTCTTTCTTTCCTTCCTTTCTTTCTTTCTTTCTCTTCCTTCTTTCCTTCCTTCCTTCCTTCCTACCATCCTTTCTTCTTTCTTCCTTCCTTTCTCCTTCCTTCCTTCCTTCCTTGCTTCCTCCCAAGCATCTATTTGTACTAGGCACCAAAAAAGCCACATGGTTGATTATCTATGTGGGATTTTGGAAACAAGCTAAGTTGGCATGAGCAAGGCAATGGGCATAAGCAATGATATAATACCAGGAAGAAAAGAATCCAGCCTTTGGCTAGGTATTTGCTCTACATCAGTACTCCCTTGTGCTCATCTCAAAGTGATGACTTTCCCTTTCAGGCAGTGGGTGACACTATTTCTCAAAATTTCCCAACTTTTGATCCTCCCTAATTTTTTTTTTTTTGTTCGTCATGGGGCTTGAATACTGGGCCTGGGCACTGTCCCTCAGCTCTTCAGCTCAAGGCTAGTGCTCTACCACTTGAGCCACAGTGCCACTTCCAGCTTTTTTCTGCTTATGTGGTGCTGAGGAATCAAACCCAGGGCCTCATGCATGCAAGGCAAGTACTACCACTGAGCCAACTTCCCAGCCCTGATCCTCCCTATTAAATGTTAAAAACATACAGATTTCCAGGCCCTACTCCAGAGCAATAGAATCAGAATTTCCACATATGAATCTTTTGAATCTTCTCTTTATTTGCTTGTTTTGTTTTTATGCTGCTACTAAAGCTTAAACTCTGAGCCCCATGCTATGGCTTAGCTTTTGTGCTCTTTATTTTTAGTGAACTATTTCAAATGGCCTTTCTAATTGGGCATGTCTGGGAAATCGGGTAGACAAGAACATACACTAGCATCTAGAAAACAGGTTTGAGGTTCTGCATCCATCCTTGTTTCAAGTACCTTAGTATCTGGAAAATGGAGATACAATCCTTGTCCCACAAAAGAATAATGAATAAAGTGCCTGGCATGTCCCAACCTTTGCCCTCCCATCATGGCCTCCAAGACTCACCAGCACCTCTCTCTCTTTCTCCAGCCTGACTGGGCGAGAGGTCCTGACACCCTTCCCAGGCCTGGGCACTGCGGTAGCCCCAGCACAGGGTGGTGCCCACCTGAAGCAGTGTGACCTGCTGAAGCTCTCCCGTCGCCAGAAGCAGCTCTGCCGCAGGGAGCCCGGCCTGGCTGAGACCCTGCGGGATGCTGCCCACCTGGGCCTGCTGGAGTGCCAGTTCCAGTTCCGGCAGGAGCGCTGGAACTGCAGCCTGGAGGGGAGGACCAGCCTGCTCAAGAGAGGTGAGAAGGACTGAGAGGGAGGAGGGAGGAAGGGAGAGTGATGAGAAGAGAGGGGGAACTGTGAAGAAGGAGACTAGGCGGGGAGGACGGGTGGGGGGCGCGGGGGTTATGTCCTAGCTATGCTTCCTTGGCAAGCTGGGCACAGCTCTGAGTGAGAAGAGCCTGGGGAAGTTATTGAGGGTCTGTTGAAGGCCAATGGTAACCCAACCTAAGGCAGAGGAGCAAGAAAGATACAAGAGAGGGAAAGACACAAGACCATTCCTGGAGGATCCCACAGACAAGACAGGTGGCTTCTAACCACCTCCCTCCCTAGGCCTCCTCCACAAGTGAACATGTAATATGTAAAAACGTGTGGACGGAGGCAATTCATAACTGACCCAAATGCTTGAGGTAAAAAACTTCCCTTGTGTACTCGTTCTTCTGTCTCTTTGTTCATCAAAAGAGGCCTCATTATCACTCCCCCCTTCCCTTCCATCTTGACTCTGCCTCCTCCTTCCTCATCCCCCATGCCCACCCTTCTATCTACGAGTGTCTCTGGATGCTCACAGTGAGTCAGGTTCTGTGCTAGATGCTGGAGTGACAGACAGACTCATCCTCCCTTGGAAAGCACACCTGGAAGCAAGAAGTCTTCTTGATACTCCATTGCTGAGGAGACAGAAATACAAAGCCTCTGGTCTCTGTGGATTCTTCCATGGAGGGGACTGGGGCAGAGCTAGTGTCTTTTTTTCCCTCTCTTTGGGGGGTCACTAGCCTTCCAGGCACACTGAAGGCCAGGAGACCAGGTTTGGACTGGCCACCAATAGTGAAGACACATCTGTGGTCATGGTAGTGGGTGTGATGTTTGGGCTGAGGCAAGTCATCCAGGAGAGCCAAGGCCATTCTGTTATGAGGTCAACTCCACAATGGATGGCAGAAAATGATATTGGAGAGACAGCAGGAAGTTCTAGGAAGCCCACAGGGCAAGATCTCAGGGGCACAGGGCCTGACAAATGGTTTGGTCCCATTTGTTGCATATGCACTCAGAATCAAGATGCCTGTTTAGCCCCTCTTCAGGTATCCAAGCCTCTTCTGTTCACATTGTAGCATTTTTAGCTAGTTCTGGAGTCTGTGGCTCCTGTCCTGCTGCCCTCTGGGGATCTAGTACTCACTCCATAATGGGATCTGGACGTTCCTTTTTTTGTCTTTTACAGTCAGTTGTGGGACTTGAATTCTGGGCCTGGACACTGTCCCTGAGCTTTCTTCCCCCCTCCCCCCCCAAGACTAGTGATCTACTACACTTAGAGCCACAGTGCCACTTTCAATTTTCTGGTGGTTAATTGGAGATAAGAGTCTCAAGGGCTTTTTCAACTTGGGCTGACTTCAAATCATGATCTTCATATCTCAGCCTCCTGAATAGCTAGTATTATAGGAATGAGCCACCAGTGCCTGACTTGGAAATTCCATTTTAATGGCAACATTCAGCCTGAAACCAAGTGGCATGTGATACTCACTCAACGCCTGTGTTCTGGAGTTCATACTTTCCCAACCTACCCACACCAGTACCCCCTTTACCTCCTCCAGCCCTCAGAGGACAGTAGGCCACCACGGATCTCTTCTTTCCTGCTGATGTCTGGGTGCCCCACACAGGTTTCAAGGAGACAGCCTTCCTGTATGCAATATCCTCAGCCGCACTCACTCATGCGCTGGCCCGGGCCTGCAGTGCTGGGCGCATGGAACGCTGCACCTGTGATGACTCCCCGGGCCTGGAGAGTCGACAAGCTTGGCAGTGGGGAGTGTGTGGTGACAACCTCAAGTACAGCACCAAGTTCCTGAGCAACTTCCTGGGGCCTAAGAGAGGAAGCAAGGACCTGCGGGCTCGGGCTGATGCCCACAATACCCATGTGGGTATCAAGGTGAGCACATTCCTGGCTTCCCAAAGTGTGGCCCCAGGCAGGGTGCAGAGCTAAGGAGCAAGCTCTATGACAGGCCAGCATTCTGGCCCTCACACACACACACACACATGCGCACACACACACACACACACACACACACACACACACGAAAGATAGGGAGAAGGGGAGCAGGGAAACTTAGAGTATGGTATGAGAATGGAGGGCAGTGGGTCTCTAGATCTATTTGGATGAGAAGGCAGGAAAGGCTTTAAGTCTTTTTTTCCCCCTGGTCCTGGGGTTTGAACTTGGGGCCTGTATCTGTCCCTGAGCTGCTTTGGCTCAAGCTCTACCACTTGAGCCACAGCGTCACTTCTGGCTTTTTCTGAGTAGTTTATTGGAGATAAGAGTCACAGACTTTCCTGTCAGGGCTGGCTTTGAACCGTGATCCTCAGATTTCAGACTTCTGAGTAGTTTAGGATTACAGGTGTGAACCACCAGTGCCTAGCATAAGCTCTAAGTCTTTTTTTTGGGTCCGGTCATGGGGCCTGAACTCTGGGCATGGGTGCTGTCCCTCAGCTCTTCAGCTCAAGGCTAGTGCTCTACCACTTGAGCCACAGTGCCACTTCTGGCTTTTTTCTTTTTGCTTATGTGGTGCTGAGGAATCGAACCCAGGGCCTCATACATGCAAGGCAAGCGCTCTACCACTGAGCCACCTTCCCAGCCCCAAGCTCTAAGTCTTTATGAAACAGAATCCTGTGTTCTGAGTCCTCATCCTTGAGTTGAGTAAAGCAGGGCTGCTGTGTTCCGTCATGCAGCTTGTATGGTCTACTAGAACTCTTGATCAAGGGAGAAGGTGTGACTGGGACCTGGTTCATGCTGCCTGCACCATGCTGCCAGCACTACATAGAGAAAGCAGAGCCTTTTACTAACTAGCACAAAGGCACCTTGTGGGAAAACTTGAGTCCAGTCTCTTCATTCTCCCTAACACTTTACCAGGGTTGACTCACTGTGACAGGCTTGGGTTACTGAGCAGGTCTCTACCTTGCCTCTCTTTCCAGGCCGTGAAGAGTGGCCTCAGGACCACCTGTAAGTGCCACGGCGTGTCTGGCTCCTGTGCTGTGCGTACCTGTTGGAAGCAACTCTCCCCATTCCGAGAGACAGGCCAGGTGTTGAAGCTACGCTATGACTCTGCCATCAAGGTGTCCAGTGCCACCAATGAGGCCTTAGGCCGCCTGGAGGTATGGGCACCTGCCAAGCTGAGTGGCCCCACCAAGGGCCTGACACCCCGATCTGGGGATTTGGTCTACATGGAGGACTCCCCCAGCTTCTGTCGGCCCAGCAAGTACTCTCCAGGCACAGCAGGCCGAGTGTGCTCCCGGGAGGCCAGCTGTAGCAGCCTGTGCTGCGGACGAGGCTATGACACCCAGAGCCGCCTGGTGGTCTTCTCCTGCCACTGCCAGGTGCAGTGGTGCTGCTATGTGGAGTGCCAGCAGTGTGCCCAACAGGAGCTCGTGTATACCTGTAAGCGCTAAGCTGCTGCTGCTGAGCCTGTGGCACTGCCAGGACTCCCAAGGCCCCTCCAGGGAGGCACACAGAATACAAGAACACACTGGCCTGCGCTGCTCACCACCCCTCCCTTTACAGACCCTTGCCAGCCTTCTGCTTCCCTCCATGCTTGGCGGCAGAGAGAAGCAAAGCCCTGCCTGGGAGTCTCAGGGTCCTTGACCTTGTTGAGGATATGGAGTGGGAGGGTAGACTGGGGAAGGGATGTGTAAGGAAAATAAGGGAGACAGAGAAGAGAGCAGGGGTGAGGTTGGCTGAGCAATGGAGGATGTCCTGCCATCTCCGTTTCTAGGATTGTCTGGAGCTGGAAGAAAGCAGAGGAAGGAGGCAGGGCAGCTGGGGCAGGTGTCCATCTAGGAAGCGTCAGTCCAGTCCTTTGGGCCTACCCAGAGGGTGGCGAGCTCTGCCTGCACTCCTCTGGTAGTTTTTATTCTGCTGAAGATGGCGGCGGGAGCTGGTTGTGCAGAGCAAGGAAAGTTTTCTGAGCTTGGCTGGACCCAAGTCAGATGCAGGCCCAGGAGCCCTGTGTCTTAGCTTTGACCTTTCCAGTTTGCCTTAATTAGGCACCCTTATGGTCTCCAGGACCATCCTGCCCTGCTCATTATAGAACCCAATACAGATAAGATGGGTGAGTGAGCCAGTCCCCGAGGTGGGCCTCAGATAGTGCATCTGAGAAGAGGCAGGGAGTCATAAAGACCTGTAATGGCAGCCTAGAGGAGGATGGGACAGTGCCCTGGTATCAGGAAGGGGTATGGCAAGCTCATTGTTTCTCCTTGCTCTGGAATATATTCTGCCAATTCCTGGTGGCTGGGGTCCTCCTGGCTAAAGTCCCCATACCTGCTGGTGACAGTGACATAGGAGAGCTGTCAGCTCATGAGCTATGATTCTGGTTATACATTTGCCCTCACAGTTGCTTATCTAACTCAGGTTTTGCCCTGGCTGAGACTTTGCCATGCCTGGCTCCTTAATGGCCTCCTTCATTTACAAATCAATGTACAAATTTATTTACCTGAGGAGTGGAAGTATTTTTGCTAATTTCTTGGCTCTTATGGCCATATCCAGTGCCCCCTTACCAAGGCCCTGTTCAGAAGGAGAAAAAGCTGTGTACATGTCCAGGCATGCACAGATGTGCACACCACCCAGCCAGGCACAGGCTTCCCACAGCGCAGATCACATCTTCCGTGGCCAGGACGAAGACCTCACTGGGGTCACTCTGTGGGAGGCCATGTTCTTCCCCAGAGCAGGGTTTGAGGCCAGCCAGGAGGAAATGACCTCCTTTGGGAAGTCCTTGGCCTCTTGGTGGCCTTGCCACACCCTCTTGTAAGCTTCCTTCCTCCCTGGATGCAAAGTTGCTGTCCCTCTGCTAAACCAAAAAACTTTGGAATCAGCCAATACTCAGCACCTTTGTGGATGCCAGGGCTGAAGCCATCAGCAGCCATAGGAGGGCCTGTGGCTCAGGGGAGGCCAAGGTTGCTAGAAGGATCTTCAGTGGCAGGGAAGCCACAGGTGACCTGAGATACCTCACTGGAATGACAGACATCACAGATAAATGATGTCATGGATCTCAGAAGCCGACCTACAGCTTGACAAGAGGAGAAAAAGAGTTGGGAGTTGGTTTTCTATGTATTCTTATTTTCACTTCATGGAGACTTTTGTCCTCCTCTTGTCTTCCGAGTCTTGTTCCCCTGTGACACCCTACTCTGCTCAGCTCCAGTTCAGCCCTGGGCAGAAGACAGCAAAGGCCCCACAGGCCAGAAGAGGCGTTTGGGAGCAATATCATCTATGGCCAACTGGGCAGGGGTACAAGAGGATAAACGACAGGCGTGGAGGACCCAGGTCATGGCTGGCCATTAACACTAGCACCCCAGGTCATTGGCCGAGGACAGACTCTTAAGGCCCTTGAACTTGTGGTTTCTGCTCTGTCTAGCCCTCTCTTACCCATTTTCCTTTCTCTTCCAGTTACCCCTAAAGATCTACCACAGCCCCGCTGGGGCCCCTAGGGATCCAAGTGACTAATCTCTCATTCTGCAGCCTTAGGGAGATGCTCACAGGGTATTTTTTTCTACCTCACAGATTATAGTTTTTAGGGCAAAAGAGAATAATTTATATAGCTAAGAATATATGGGAAACTATTTATGTTATTTATATGATTTCTTTATTTCATGGGCTGCACATGTGGGACTCCTATGTTTCCAGCCTGACCTGATTAGGGCTCCATGAGCTGGACACCGGGTGGCTGGAAGGGGGTGGGGAGGAGCTGTAATAAGCTCCTGCACCCCAGGATGGTCTTGTCTTATAGCTGGTGAGCATGTGTCCCTCCCTGGGCTGATCCCTGTTGGATTGGATCTGATCCTTATGACATCACTAGTGATTCTTTGCTCTTCTGGGTCCTGGGCCCCTTTCCTCTGGTCTGCAAAAGTGTTTTGCTCTTAATAATAACCAGAATGAGGATGACCCCACCTGGCATTTGTAAAGCACTTTCCATTTTCAGAAACACTTTTATCTCTTTACTATTTAATCGCCATTGATTTTCTCACTATTCCTGTGAGGGAGATGGGGCTACATTAGGGATCCACCTTCCAAATGGGCCCAGCGATCTAGCCTGTGCTCAAAGTCACATGGAAGAGAATCACTCAGTGAAGAAACAAGCACTGCAGGAGCCAACTTTCCCTTAACTTTGGGAGTCAAAACTTGGGTACCCCTGGAGCCTAAGAACCCAGAGAAGTGGCTCCTTTCCTTACTATGTGTAACCCTGGCCTTTCAGCTCCGGGTGGCATGCCCATATGTCCTACAAAAAGCGTCCTAGGTCTCCAAGACTGGAACTTTCCTGAAGGCCTGGAAAGATGAGAACCTCCATGGAAGTCATTTCAGGGAAGCCCTTTTTCACACATTATCTAAGATGATCCAGCTGTACCACTGGGCCCCTCCTAGTCCACAAGTGACTTTGGTTTGCTCTCATTTTTATTTGTCTTTTAAAAATGAATCATTCCCCCACTGTTTTCCTGGATTTTTTTTTCCTAGAAAAATCAACTATACTTCCAAACTGGACCCACAGTCAGCTAGTACGAGGGAACCCTACCAGATCAGAGGCATGGATGCTCCCCCAAATGCCCAGTGCTCCTGTCTTACCCTCCTGCCTGGCCTCTGTGGGCACATAGAAACTGTCCCCTGGTCTAGATGAGCCCAGAGGCCCTGACATCCTCCAAACCCGGCAGACATGATGACCACCCAGACTGTACCAGATCTAGGAATTCTGTCTTGTTTTCCCAAGTTTCTTTTCCCAATATCTGTGAACTTCCAATGCTTTTGACTCCAGGATGATAGTTTAGAATTACAGCAAGCCCACCTTATCTGTAGATATATCACAGGTGGATTTTGACCAAGCTACACACCATGCAGCTCATTTCATGTGGGGAAGCTGTCAGTCAGTCCCACCCACATTATTGTCACTCGTGTTTAATTCTGATTATGTGCAGCCAATAATGGTCTCCTTGGAACCACATACCCTTGGATGCTGAGAGTTCACAGTACAAGGGAGCTTTCAGTCACTGAGGGACATGACATTCACTCAGTCACTCAATGATTATTTAGGGTGAAATGCCAGGGGCCACCTTGGGTTCTAGGATAGAAGAGTTTGTAAGACCAAGTCCCAATCTCATGGGGTTTGACATTCAGGTGGGGGAAGAAAATAAACCAATAAACTATATGCTGTGATTTGTGCTTATTCCTGCCTGGTGGACACTCCCCTCCTTCATTGGTTAGGGAATAGAGGCTGTAAGATTCAAAGACTCCTGATTGCCAGAAGAAAGTGGTGGGTATCAGGATTTGAACACACAGCTGCTGACCTCCAAAGAATGGGCTCTTTCCTCCCCATATTTCTGTGTCTTCTCAGGTGCAGGGTCAGGTCACTCCATGCTATAGATTCTGAGTAAACTGAGGCAGGATATAATCAAACCCAGTTCACATACACTGAGTTAGGCTAGGTTGAAGCCAGAGTCTCTCCAGGAGCTGCTAAGTGTTTCCAGAGCTCTCACCTTTGGCTGGTGGGATGAGACAAGGCGGGAGCCTTCAAGGCCTCTTGGTCTGCTAGGAAAAACCAGGCCCTTTCTGAGCAAGGACAGCAGAGAGAGCTCACCTCCCAGCCCAGCCCTGTCCTGTCCCAGATCTTGACCCCTTCTGTGATCACATTGCCTTATGTGGGATCCCCAGAGAGGCAGGAAGTCCTGAGCGCCCCATATTTCTCCAGTCCTTACAAGTTTCTGCACCCCAGGGCTCCTGAGCCCAGCCTCCAGCCAGTTAGGAGCATTGATAGAGTCAGGTCCACACACAATGGCAGGCTCTAATTTCTCACCTGACCCTTGCCTGGTAGGCATTGCTATGAAAACTGAGGCATGGAATAGTTAAGTGATACACTGAAGACTCTATCACTAGCAAGTGGTCTTCGGTGTTCTTTCTACCCTATGCTGCCTTCAGACTCCTCCACCTCTAGCTGAGCCTTCCCTGCTCCTTCCCCCTAAACCGGTTCTAGACAGGCCCTCAGGCCTCTCCACCTTCAGCTGCTGGAAGCTGCCACTCTTCCTAAAGGAGCAGCAGGGCTTGTCGAGACAATCACTAGGTGGGCTCCTATCCATTCCTCACTCCAAAAACATCTAGTAATAGTCTCTCTCTTCCTTCCTTCCTTCCTTCCTTCCTTTCTCCCTCCCTGCCTCCCTCCCTTCCTTTCTTCCTTCCTTCCTTTCTTCCTTTTCTTTCTTCTCTTTTTTTCTTTTCTTCTCTTTCTTTCTTCCTTCCTCTCTCTCTCTCTCTCTCTCTCTCTCTCTCTCTTTCTTTCTCTCCCCCATATTTACTTTGTTGAACTATTTATGGGACATTGCTTTATCATGGGTCTTCTCAGAACAAGAATCTTCTACCACAGGGCTGGGAAGGTGGCTCAGTGGTGGAGTGTTTTCCTTGCATGCATGAGGCCCTGGGTTCGATTCCTCAGCATCACATAAGCACACAAAAAAGGCCAGAAGTGGCGGCTGTGGCTCAAGTGGTAGAGCGCTAACCTTGAGGTGAAGAGCTGAGGGACAGCACTCAGGCCCAGAGTTCAGGCCCTACGACCGGACCATGAAAAAAAAAAAAAAAGAATCTTCTACCACAGAATAAGGCTGTCACTACATGCAGTGGAAGGAAGTAGACCAGGACTTTTATGAAGAGCAAGCCTGGCTCATGATTTCAAGAGGGAAAATTTCTTCCCTTTGACGCTGACAAGATATCAGCACTGTCAATGTTCAAACTTCTCCAACTATTTCCATAAATGTCCTTTAGAACCTCTTCTCCCTGCCTCAGGATCGCCTCAGCACTTGGGTAGGAACTATTCCTTACTCCGGAGCAGACTCCAGCATGGTGTGCATTCTTGGCTTTGGTTGTTAGAAGAGCTCTGCCATATGTCTTATGAGGCATCTCTTACCTGAGGTTTGTCAATTGCTTCCTAAAAAATCAGGTTCAAGTTAACAACATTTTAGCATGAACCTGCTTGGGTGTGCATTGTCAGGAGCTACAGGATGCAATCTTGGCTCCTGATGGGTGATTAAATTGGATCACTTGCTTAAGGTGGTTTCAGCTTGATCTTCCCAATGTAGTCAGCTTTTTCCTGTTATGAGTCATGACTCATCTGTGAGTATGCTTGAGACTGTGGGACATATTATTGCCTTGCAACCTTTTTACCCAGCTCAGCATCTATGGGTGATTCTTGTCCAAGAGAATGGCCACGTACTGATTTTCTCATTCCATCACCCCTGCTATGTGTGAGGTATTCTTTTTTTAAAAAAATAAAGAATAGCTTCCTTTTCATCTCTATCCTTACAACATTAATTTTGCTCTTCATGATCACCCAGTGGGGAAACTATTTCCATTACCATTATACAGATGAGGAAACTAAGGTTCTGGAAGCTTAAAACATTTGCTGAGCGTCAGAGGCAGGATAGGCTGTTCTCCTGCCTGAGTTCTTGCCCACTGCCCTCTTGTATCTTCTCAGATTCTCGAATGACTTCACGCTAAGTGGAAGGTGGGGAATCTACCCTCTTCTAGTGGGGTTCTTGTAGCAAGTGAGGAAGGTACAAGTGGAGAGATCTATTTTGAAATCGTGAGCCATACTTGCTCTCCACTGCACCTGGCCATCCCACCTTGGACACTCAGTGCCATTGTCTCCTCAAAGCCCAAAGGACTCCCAGCCCTGTCAGCTCAGTGATGTGGGACTGCAGTGATCTCCAGTCCTGGAGTGACTAAGGTCAATTCCTCTGCTCCTCAGATTCCTGAAGGCATATGAAACAATCTCCCCACACACCCAAATCTTCAGATGGGAAATATGGCCCCCAGCTCAGTACTGAGCAAGCCTGGTACTAGAAGAAAGGCTTCAAAAGGCCAGAGTAAGAATGTGGGATAGGGAACTCACATTCAGGAAAGAGGTAAGTGGGGTCCTATACTTTCCTCTTCCCCTTCATTTCTCATTCTTTGGTTCCCATCCTCTCCCACTTGTCACTAATTGCTTATGTGGTTACAATCACTGACTAGTCACCTACTGTGCACCAGGATGAGTCAGGGCCTTGAAGTAACCTGGTAAAGAGACCTAGGTCCAGCCTTCAGAGAGGTCACAGACAAGGAAAGAGATTACTCATATGCAGAGATGTCACTGTGTGTGTGTCTGACCTCTCAGGCACTCCTGACCTGGCTATGTCCATATGTCCCCTTGTTTAACCAAGAGACCATAGTGTATCTAGTGTCTCACAAAAACTGAACTGCCATACATAAGGCCCCATGATGACGAATGAGGCTGGGATATAAGTGACTCTTCTCTGCCTCTGTCCTGGAAGGGCAGGGCTACCTGATCCAAGGCCTAGAAAGACAAGGGACATCAGGGAGGTGCAAAGTTTAGCATGACTTCTCTCTCCGTCCTCCTCCTCTCTCCTCCCTGCATATTTGTAGAGCACAGTCCAGCTGCCTTTTGGGTGTCTTCCCCCATCCCTGCTCTCATCTCTCCCGAGTCCCCCAGGGGCTGTGGGGCCCACATTCCTTCCTGGCTCTCTCAGACCCATTAGTCTGTTTATGCTGGAACTGACTAAGGAGAGTGGAGCCGGACCCCCCACCTGCCACCATCCCCCTCTGCCCCCCCCCTCCATAGACAGTGGTCAGAGGCGAGGTGACGTCTGGTCAGAGCCATGGCAGACCTGACCTGGGTGTCCAAATTCCTGCCCCACTGTCTGAACAAGTCCAGGGCAGCCAAGGGCCTGAGGGGCAACAGTAGTCCCCCCCTTCCTGCTACCCCCTTTCCATGCAGCCCCTCCTGCAGCTGACAGCCTCTAATCTCAGCTGTCTTCATGCAGCCAGCCCTTGGAGCCCGGGGTCACCTGACGCCGACACATTTTAATTCACAAGCTGATTTCTGCTTGTTGGGAACATGTCATTTCTGAAATTGCTTTCTCTGCCCAGAGGCAGGAGTTGTCAGAGCTGCACAGGTGTGGCAGTAGTGCCGCCCTCACCCTACCCCCACCCCCAAGTTCAGGAAGGATTAAGGGGTGTGGGGGGCACACAGGAGATCCTCAAGCTCAGCTTCTCATGTTTCCCCAAGGACTGGGGAGGCCAGGGATGGGGAATGGCCCTAACTTTCTTTTCTGGCCCAAAGATAGAGAACTAACGTTCATAAATGAAGGTGCTGCTACTACTACTTGCTTTGGACAATAGCAACAGTAAGTTGCTTTGAGAATGTTCTACATAGGTGCCAGCATCCCCCTAAAGAGCCTTTCTTACGTATCATTATACGTAAATCTTATGACAACCCTCCCAGTGTCTGTCATCCCTACCTTTCTGCTGAGAAAATGGAGACTCGGAAAGGTTAGCTCGCTTACCTAAGGTCACACAGAAAGTATATATGTAGCAGATATCGGACTCAACCCAGTGAGGGCAGCAGTTATACTGGGACTGGTTGTATGGGAAGAGATGGGCCACAGAACAGAGAAGGACCAGGGACTGGCTGCTTCTATATTTGCTTTCATGTCTTGGCTTAAGGATCACCAGTGAAATTTGCCTCCCTCCATAACATCCTCACCCCTACAACTTATCAAATAGTTATTTTTTTCCTTTTTTTTTAATGTTTCCTTGTCATTTCGCCTATACTTCCGTTAACAATTTTCTTGTGATAATGACATCCTTTGTCTTGTTGGATGAATGAACATGGATAGAAAGACAAATGCATACACAAATCTGTGACTCTTGCTCTCCACATGGCCCCTACCCACATCCTCTTCCTCAGCAGTGTCCAGAAAAGCAGGCTTTTCCTCTTGTGGCTGACGCCTTTTCTATCCTTGACTTGCTGCTGGCTTCTTTCTATCCACACTCCCTTTCCTTCCCCTCATTTGGTCTTACCTCCTTTCTGCAGCTACCCAGACTTCCTTAGCTGCCTCAACCATCAAGAGTAACACTACACAAAAACCTTAGCCTAGGACACCTACAAGACAGAATTAGCCGACCCTGTTGGAAAGCAGCCCTCTGAGCCCCTGGTGGAGATGGCACATGGGTGAATATACCCTGTCCTTGGTGGTACCCCCCTTTCTACTCCACCAGCTTCCCCAGGGTGAACTTCTCTCTGCTCCTCAGCTCTTCAGAGGACTCATAGCTGCATGGACTTGTTCCTTGGCATGTGCCAGAGCTCTAGGAATATGGGAAACACCAGGGGG